AATGAAATCGCATATTACATATAGCGCTGTTGACGAAGGAAAACAGTAATGGCCACGCCCTGTACGGAAGCACGTTGTTGTTTATGTCAAGAGTGTTTTGTCCCCAAAAAATAGGCGCACGATCTTTGGGGAAACTTTTGGAGTTTTAAATCAATTGGTGGAAATCCTTGACTACGTGCCACATGTAAATGATGACCTGGGAAAATATGTGTGCTGCCTTTGGATTGTTTCCATATTGCTCTGTCATTTATACTCTGCCTCAACATACACATGCTTTTGTCAACACGCCAATGGAGTGTGTATGTAAAGTTTATTCTGATTAGTTAAAAGTTTTTTGGGAGAAGAACGATAACTCGGTATATCCACTAGGTGGCAGTGGAGGGAATTATGAAAACACGGCTATGTCCGCCAAGGGTAAGTGGAGTGTATACGAAGTGAACTCTTGGCTAGCGAAGATGCCATAAATGTTATTTTTATAAGCATTTAGAATGTTTTCTTTCGTTAAGAGCCCACAGAAGGAGTAAAGTTGAGAGACTCCTGCAATAACACATACAGTGATACCTGTCTAAACTGAAACCTTGTGAGGCTCAGTACCTAGTGTGAGGCATACCCATAATGGTCAGATATGTCAGAGTAATCATTCTTCCGGGTGTTGGTTGAGATACATCTAATTTATACGATTTGATGGTAAAAACTAGATACACTGGCAAAAGACGTCCTTGCGACTTGAGACGCTTCAATCTGTTCTCGGGTGCTGTTGGAAGGAGGGTGGCATTTATTTCGAGATATATTAATTACTCTTTACACGGCAGGATAGGTCATAACAAACCAAATGTAGCCGGGTCCCTGTGACTGAACTTTACCTTCAAAATAACAATAGCCGCAGGTAACAGGGTTATCCCACGTTTAATTAATTATAAACTATATGTATATATCTGTATCTGTTTAACCAACTTTTTAGATAAATATCAATGTTCTGTATACCATGCTATCAGTTCTGAGTTTCTGCCGCCTCTGACATCAGACTAAGACAGTTTGACAGATAGACGTCTGGTTTGGGACCAGAGCACACTAATTACTATTTTTATGAAAACTTAAAATTGTCCGAAACCGTTTGGTATCGGAGAGATTTAATTGAGATGCTGACAACAAAAATCTACTATGGCACAAAACATACCTCACATACATCGATACATGGATTATTTATTGATCCAAATCTGCTCTTATTATTACCAACAGCTGCTGAATTCTGCCAGCAGAGTCCTCGAATTGGAATCGTTCAAAAAAATTCCCACCTGAGCGATCGCCATTTTCTAGATCATGGAAGTGACTTATTAACAAAAAAGAGGTGATCCGTAATCTTCTAAACAAAGAATACAATTTTTTATGTTCGGTCCGGATCAGTACGGTTTGTTGATTAGTCAATTCCATGACCTACAAAATGGCGTTCACTCAGGTGGGACATTTTTTGAACGATTGAAATTCGTAACACGCCGTCCTGACATGTATTGGACATACACATCAGAACGATTATCACTTACAAAATCTGGCCTTAATTCATTGCTAATATAATATGGTATTTCATGTAACAAACAGGCATATTTACGATATTAAAAAAAANTATCATTGACTAACATTTTAATCATAAGAATAAGAGAAATGTTATTCTTAGACTGATCCGACATTATTCAAATAACACGGCTTTATTAGTTTAGTTAAGGACTTAAATATATCTTGTGGGTGGTAAGTACAGGTGTAATTGAGTGGTTCGGTTATCCAAACGACTACTACTAGTTCCGTCCCGTGAAAGCGGCTGCGTAGTTTGTTCGTTTGATCCGCCGCTATCGGCCAGGTATCAGTTTATCGGTCGATAGCGGGGAGGTATAATTAAGCAGTTTATCGGCCGATAGCGGCCGATAACCTCGTTCCGTTCGGGAAGCGGCTGTACTAGCAGCGTTAGGCCCAATCGGTAACACCGGTCCTATCGGTAGGCTTGCGTTTGCACCGGTTCGTCCTGCGGTCGTATAGCGGCTCGTCTCCGTTCGGGAAGCGTGCGTCCTGCATTCATGCCACAAAAAGTGGATACTTGGGCGTAATTCTAACTGTATCACATTAATATTAAATTTTCCATTTGCATAATTGTAACATGCACAGCAATGATTATTGACCAAAGAAAATTAACCAAAATTCTGCAAAAGTCTGAGTGAGGGTAATAGCTTCAAAAACCAGGGTTATGGCACGCTTTCAGACATTTTGTTATAGCAGTCACGGTAGCAGTTTTATCATCTGTTCATTGTATACTGTAAATCATCTTGCATCTATATATATACAAAACACTATTATCTGTATAATTGATACATATATATGATGTGGAAGATTCATGCTAATTTATTTAACACGAAAAAATGTGAGCATTTCCACTTCACATTTAGATCCCCTTTACAGTCGTAGACATTCTTACAGTAATATAAATTATACATAAAATGGCACATAAATCAAAATAATTACAGGATATTAACGCTTTGACATTCATAAATGCATCTTCACTAGCCAAGTGTTCGTTTCGTATACACTCCACTTACCCTTGGCAGATATAGCCGTGTTTACTGAGCCTTCTAATTTTCGTGCGGTGCCAATCGCGAGCATCCAATGAAATCGCGTATTACATATAGCGCTGTTGACGATGGAAAACAGTAATGGCCACGCCCTGTACGGACGCACGTTGTAGTTTATGTCAAGAGTGTTTTGTCCCTAAAAAATAGGCGCACGATCTTTGGGGAAACTTTTGGAGTTTTAAATCAATTGGTGGAAGTCCTTGACTACGTGCCACATGTAAATGATGACCTGGGAAAATATGTGTGCTGCCTTTGGATTGTTTCCATATTGCTCTGTCATTTATACTATGCGGGGCCTCAACATACACATGCTTTTGTCAACACGCCGATTGAGTGTGTATGTAAAGTTTATTCTGATTAGTTAAAAGTTTTTTGGGAAAAGAGCGATAACTCGGTATATCCGCTAGGTGGCAGTGGAGGGAATTATGAAAACACGGCTATGTCCGCCAAGGGTAAGTGGAGTGTATACGAAGCGAACACTTGGCTAGCGAAGATGCCATAAATGTTATTTCTATAAGCATTTAGAATGTTTTCTTTCGTTAGAGCCCACAGAAGGAGTAAAGTTGAGAGACTCCTGCAATAACACATACAGTGATACCTGTCTAAACTGAAACCTTGTGAGGCTCAGTACCTAGTGTGAGGCATACCCATAATGGTCAGATTAGACAGGATTTGGAATACACAGTTGCCAGGAATGTGATTCTTCCTCTTTTCAGAAGATTTCCTCGTTTTTCCTATTTTCCGATGATTTTAAAAGTTCCTGATTTACTATGACTTTAAAAAAAATAATCAAAGTTTTAGTTGGTGAGGCGTGTTCCTTCCTTTTCACTTGGGTTTCCTACTTTTTATCCAATCCCCATTCACATCCGGGAGTTGCTATTTGATAATTATTTTGAGAATTGAAAACACAGCATTGTGTTTGATAAAGCACTGTAGGAAAACTCAGAGGGGTCACACATTAGACAAACCTCATCGTATTACATGATTTGATAAAAAATCACACTGTGTGACGTTTTTTCACAAATAGTAGCGGAGGTCCTTTTAATAATATCAGATGATTCTGTAGCCCTGTGAAGCTAGTTTAATTGAAACTTGGGAACACCACAATAGATGAAGGTGTGTACTTTGGTTGTGTAGTTCAATGTTGATTTACGTTCAATATCAAACTGTATTATAATGTGAACATTGTACATACATAGGTATATAGAGGCGACATACCTGTGGTAGAGCATTCAATATCAGTGTACCTGTATTTTACATATAAATAAATGTAGTACCTCAACAGACCATACGTTTACACATTAATCAATTGTGTAAAAGTTTTATAAGTTGATAGAATAAACAGTGGTGATTCAGCTGCTACTGAGAATAGAACCATGTAGCCACCTAGCCCTGTACCTGTACTAGCCTGTTCAGAGGAGTATAGAATTTAGTGATGTGTCAATAAGGATATTATAAAACTGCCATATATATATACATCCGGCCTATTGAGGGACCTATAGTAGGACTAAGTGCACGTGTTAAAAGGAAAAAAAGATAGCTATAAATATACCATACTGATTGATCATACGGGTACTGGAAACGACTGTACATGTAGTTGCTTGTGTCGGCGAGGCTAATATGACTATACTTTACCTAGCTACAGAGGGTTCAGAACTATGGCTGACAAATGTATCTACCTTCTGAGAGTGTTGGACTTCATGTGGCCTTAAGGATAACATAACTATCCTATAATCCTACCTTGTGCCTGCTAAGTGAAGATACAGGACTGTGTGGTCAAGGATCATATACCTATCGACTGAGGGTGTATGTAGGACTATATATCTGTGAGGATTACATATATAGCTACCATATATTACATCTACCGACTGCGAGTGTAGGACTCTTTTTGTGTCCATAAGGAAACATACAATATAACTGGAGGTTACAGGACTTTATGTGGTCGAAAGAATAACACAACTTGAGGATACCTATATATATAGGACTTGAGTTTCTGTAAGAATAGAGTAGCTGTATATCGTCCCTATCTTTTGACGGTGTAGGACTTGTTGGCCAGAAGGATATTAGCTAACATATGTTGTACAATAACATATATACCTATTGAAGGTGTAGGACTATATGCAATCGTAAGGATAACATAGCTAACGTATATATCTTAGCTACCTGTGGAGAGTGTAAGACTTTATATTGCCCTGATGATAACAAAGTAAACGTATATCGTACCAACCAGTTGAGGGTGTAAGACTTTATGTTTCCCCGAAGATAACATACCTTTCCTACAGTGTACCTACCTATTAATGGTATAAGACGACTGGTATGTGTCTGCTGTTCCTGATTGTGAGGCGGTGGACGGACTGGGATGACACCCCTGTTTTACCATTACAGGACACTACTGGTAGATGGCCTGGACCAGAACTACTGCCTGATGGCTGCCGACGTCAAGGACGCCTACCTGATGCACATCCTCGACAAATTCACCGAGGAGAACCCGAGGAGTTCCGTTATAATTTTCACCAACACATGCAAGTATGTATTAATAGCTTATAAAAAGGGTTTTTTCCACAAAGTTTGCAAGTATAGAGCCAGTATTTTGATTTGAGTTTTGCTGTCGTAATTTTTATGAGATGATTACCTTTTGAATTCTTTTCTTGTACATATTGTTGATATCTAAGGATTGAAATACATATCCTATGATATTTATAATGACATAAAAACCTGTTGCCTATATATTCCATGATGTATGGTAGAAATGTGTATATTAACACTAAAAAAAATTCTAAGGATTGAAATACATATCCTATGATATTTATAATGACATAAAAACCTGTTGCAGATATATTCCATGATGTATGTTAGATATGTGTATATATTAACACTAAAAAAAACCAAGTTGACAACGTTTTCTTAATGAAATTTATTAATTAACCCTTATGCCGCCATTCACTCATGTGTATATATACACACCACTGCTGTGTATACAATTTGTGGTATACCTCCCACTGCCAAATAAACAACAGCTATATTAATCAAAATTAATTATCTGATTAAACCAACAATAACTTTTTATCTTTATAGAATCCAAGAAAATATATATAAAGTGTTTTGTTCAGGAAGACTTCTTCTTTTCATATCAAAAGTAATTTTGGATATACCGCTTACTTTTCCCGAACTACAGGTTAGAAAAGCTGAATTTTATGTGTATTTTGTATGTAAAAAAGATGATTTACATCTAATAAACAGTTCATTTATTACCATCACCTGAAAAACAATTCCAAGTTTCATGATCAAAAGTACTTAGTATTCTGTCGTAAGAGTCGTCCGTATATTGACGTCAAAACGAAGAGAGAGAAAAATGAATAGGGTCGCCGTCACCTGGAATATCTTTGTTCAAATCGGGCCGTCCCGTGAATTGGGCATTTATGGAGGTATGCTGTGTTGTAGTCGTCTTCAGGAATGTCCACGTCTTTATATAATTGATCAAAGACAATATCTTGTACGATTTCTGCGTCACATAGTAAATCTTCAGTCCCGATTCCCTAAAAGTCATTGTCAAATATATCGCTGATAATCTACAGTCGTTCGATTTGTCTTATGTCAGTTTGTCGTCCGCCATTTTTCCGCGCTGTCAACAAAACCTTGAATCTATGCTCTCGCGGTCATGGTGGCTTAGTTTATAAATAAACTGTGGGTATCACATAGTCAGCCAATGAAATTAAGGTATAAACGAATACGTCATCATTTCTAAGTAAAGCTAGCAGTGATTTTCTCACCGCAGTTCCGTACTTAAAAAGGCAACCCCGGAATCGACATATGCCGCGATCGGCAGTGGAAGGCATGTTTTGCGGAACGACATAATTGCCGCGCTTGGCAGTCGGAAATGGGTTTATAAAAATGACATATGCTGCACTTGGCGGGATAAGGGTTAAGAAAGCCACTTGCAATAATTTTACCCATGTCCTATGCTTTTAGCATTTTGAGTTGTTAGTATAGGTTTATTTAGAGGCTGTAAAATAGAAATTAGAATTCATTGTGACCGTGGTCTTTCTCACCAATGCCATTTTAGATACATGTTTATTTAATATGAAAACTTGCAGCCATTTCATGATAACTTTTCATTCACACAGCTTTAGTGATAAGTCTAGACGTTGTCAAAATGGCATTATTTTGAACTCTACACAGCATTGAATTATAAACCTAGAGGTGGTCAAATTGAGATTACTTCAGTTACACAGTGTTGTATGGTAAATCTAGAGGCTGTCTTATTAAAACATCAAAGTGATGTTTTGTATTGCTTCATGGTTTCAAATTGCGTTCCTGGAACACAACTTTTAGAGATGTAAAATTAAACCTTTGATAGAAAAAACACTGACATAATGTTAATGTTGGGTCAATAAAGCTGGAGGAGTTATTTATATAGCCTTGTATTGTAGATTTTGATTTACACAATGCTAGTTGATAAAACTGAAGTAGGTCAGAATGAAATAACCCCAGTAAACACAGCATTGTATAAGTTCTGAGGTTGTCTGAATAAGGTAACTTTTGATCTCATGGTGCTTATAATTTGATAATTTTAAAGGAGATCTGAATGAGGTTACTTTGGCTTATAGCATTTGTATGATAAACTCAGAGGTTGTCTAAATGAGGTTACGTTTTGGTTTAGAGAGTTATAAATAGTTGGTAAACCTAGAGGGGGTCTGAATGAGGTAATCTTGAATTTGCACAGAGGTAAAGAGAACAAAACATCACCGACACACCTCTCGGCTTGTGAGGAGGCACGTTTTCTTGATTTGTGTAACAATAAAGTCAAACACTAGAATAGAAGGACATGTTAGTTAGGAAGATACATAAATGGGTTCACGTTGAATATCTATTTCACGAGCAGGTTCATAATACATTTTGATTTTAAAATACAATCCATTGTAGCCATTTTTGCAGGAACAATTAAGGTAATGTATCTTTGGTTAGTATTTCTGTCGGGAGACAAAGGTCAATTGAAAGATGTATTTGAGAATGTTTGATGGTTTCCCGTTGAATTCCGTATATATTTTACAGTTGTGAAAGGTATGCATTGATTAGGTTGCCTTTAGCTCAGCGGTACAGCATCGGGCTGGAGAGCCAAGGGTCGCGGGTTTGAGCCCCACTAACAGCACTTTAATCTTTATCACTATTCCTTGTCCTACTACACAAGTATGACAGAATATTTTTCATGAGTGTAAAGCAGAGTTGGTATAGGTATATTCTGCTATACAAGTGAAATATACTTGCATGCTAGTTATTCTTTACATTGCTATCTATCCTGTTTTAGATATTACTTAATTGTGTTTGTAGGTACACACAGATTCTAGGAATGATCTGCACCAGTCTAGGCCTCAACTGTGTAATTCTACATGCCATGTGCAAACAGAAGGAGCGGCTGGCCGCCCTGGCAAAGTTCAAGTCTAACCAGGTCAAAATCCTCATTGCAACTGATGTGGCCAGCAGGTAGGTCAAAGTTCAAGTCTAGCTAGGTCAAAGTTCAAGTCTAACCAGGTCAACATCCTCATTGCAACTGATTTGGCCAGGAGGTTCGTCAAAGTTCAAGTCTATAGCTAGGTCAAAGGTCAAATTTTCCCTGGTCAACATGCTCATTGCTACCAATGTAGCCTGCAGGTAGGTGCAAGTTCAAGTCTAGCTAGGTCAAAGGTCAAATTTAACCTGGTCAACATCCTTAACTATATTATTGCCGATATGGTGAGGAATTAGGTCAAAGTTCAATTTTGACCAAAACATCATCTTCAATGTTACTCGATGTGGCTAGCAAGTAGGTCAGAGTTCAAGTTAGCCAGGTCAAAGTTCAAGTCAAACTAGATCTAAATCCTTATGCTTACATATGTGCTACAAGAGTAAGTAGGTCAGAGTTTTAGTCTAACTGGCTGCTGATGTGGCAAGTAGGTAGGTCAGAGTTCAAGTCTAAGTTGGTTAATGGCCTCATTGCTGCTGACATGGCAAGCATGCAGGTCAAAGTTTAAGCCTAAGCTTTGTCAACACTTGCAAAGCTGCTGATGTAACTTGTAGGCAGGTATGAGTTACTTTGCCATCATTATGGTGATATGCATTTTGTTACTAAGCACATCACATTTTTACGTCACCTGAGGCAAAGCCTTTTGTCCGGCCTCGTGCGTTGTCTGGTGTCCGTCCGTAAACAATTTACATTTTCGACTTCTTCTCCAAAACCCCTGAACCAATTTCAATGAAATTTTGCAGAAATCTTCTATGGCGGATGTCAACCAAAATTGAGGGGTGGGGCCCAAAAGGGCCAAATTGACTGAAATTTCAAAAATCTTCTTCTCAAGACCCAGATATGGTAGAATCAAATACCCTTCATAGATGGAAGGGTCTTAAGGTGTTTTATTAAACTTGTGAATTTCATGACCCTTGGGTCTCATGTTTCCCCATGGGGAGGGGGTTAACTTTCCTATTGTTTATATAGGGAAATCACATTTTGTGGCTAAAAGACTGATTGATGCCTTATTAAAAAGCCAATAAACTGCTCTCCATTTCATTTGAAGTTTTTTTAATGAGTTTCTGAGCAAGTGAAACATGTTTTTCACATGGTACAGCCAAATGTAAAGATATTCTGATCATATTAAAACTTTTATTTGCATCATTGTCTCTATTTTGGTTTACAGAGGTTTGGACATTCCAACAGTAGACCTAATCATCAACCATAACGTGCCGTCCCGACCGAAAGACTATGTACACCGAGTCGGTCGAACAGCCAGGGCAGGTAAGTGATCATCAACCATAACGTTCTGTCCTGACCCAAAGACTATGTACAATGGGTTGGTCCAACAGTCTGGGCTGGTATGTGTGTAGCTGTGATATCTCACAGTGTTTCATAACGTGCCGTCCCGACCCAAAGACTATGTACACCGAGTCGGTCGAACAGCCAGGGCAGGTAAGTGATCATCAACCATAACGTGCCGTCCTGACCCAAAGACTATGTACACTGGGTCGGTCGAACAGCCAGGGCAGGTAAGTGATCATCAACCATAACGTGCAGTCCAGACCGAAAGACTATGTACAATGGGTTGGTCGAACAGTCTGGGCTGGTATGTGTGTAGCTGTGATATCTCACAGTGTTAAATAACGTGCCGTCCCGACCCAAAGACTACCTACACCTGGTCGGTCGAACAGCCAGGGCAGGTATAACTGTTACGATGTGTGCAGCTGTGATATCTCGATGTTTATTTCCTATAAACAGAATAAAATTTACTCATGCAAGTCAAATGTTTGAAATTGTTTAGTTTGTAGAATTCAAAAACTGTAGATGTTCTTTGTCCTGTTGAGTTCACAGAACTAGGTTTTGGGATAAATAATGCACACTGCTGCAAAAATTTGATATTGAAGTCAATTCCATTTGTCTTTTACGTTGAAGAGTGCTGTCAAAGTTAAAACCATATTTCTCTATACTTGCTATATTGTTAAATTTAACCTTTTAATAGCTTTTTTTGTGTTCTGTGTAATATTTCTACTACTACTACTGACCAAAGTAATGATTGACTCTCTTACTTCTGTGAAGTTCATTGCGTGTAGAATTGATTATCAGTAAACAATATGGTAACCTTTAACCTTTTACCTTTCTATGTATTATGTACAGTACACAATATAGTAACCTTTAACTTTTCACCTTTCAATGTAATATGTACAGTAAACAATTTGGTAACCTTTCCCCTTTCTATGTAATATGTACAGTAACCTATATAGTAACCTTTAACCTTTTACCTTTCTATGTAATATGTACAGTAAACAATATGGTAACCTTTAACCTTTCACCTTTCTATGTAATATGTACAGTAAACAATTTGGTAACCTTTCACCTTTCTATGTAATATGTACAGTACACAATATAGTAACCTTTAACTTTTCACCTTTCTATGTAATATGTACAGTAAACAATATAGTAACCTTTAACCTTTCACCTTTCTATGTAATATGTACAGTAAACTATATAGTAACCTTTAACCTTTTACCTTTCTATGTAATATGTACAGTACACAATATGGTAACCTTTAACCTTTTACCTTTCTATGTAATATGTACAGTAAACAATATGGCAACCTTTAACCTTTCACCTTTCTATGTAATATGTACAGTAAACAATATGGTAACCTTTAACCTTTCACCTTTCTATGTATTATGTACAGTACACAATATGTATTATGTTTAGTAAACAGTATTCTCATTTGTCTGTTTTCTCCAGGTAGGGGAGGCATGTCTATAACCTTGGTGACACAGTTTGACATTAAGTTGATCCACGCCATTGAGGAGTTTACAAGTATGTGCAAATTGTTTAATATGGAAGATTTATTTTTGAAATTACTTGCTCAGTTCTTATATTTTATTCTACACTAGCATACAGTAAAACCCTGCTAACTCAAACTTTTTATGTGATTTACAGTTGGTATTGCCATGCCAAAATATGGTTTACACACCAAGTGAATTAACTCTAACGCTGAAACATTGATGTCAAACATCAGATCTGTGTTATCACAAGGAGGCAAATACATCAACATACCCTGCCTCCAGCACACAACACACAACACATGCACACATTCATAATACACATTGAGGCACCTCCATAAAAGACCTTAGCTGTTGATAGGAGGTTAACCTTTCCACCCCTAGGTAACTTTAGTAGGCTCTACCATACATTGATTTGGATGAGTTCATTATGGTCTACAGTGGTAAAAGGGTGGAACCCTGTAAAACTAAACCAAACCCATGAGAAGCTGCAATAATCTGGTCTATGTAAATCCAAATCTATAGTATAAAACAGTTTATTTTCATCTGTCCAATGACCAGTCGGTACGCATACGTAACATGTACTGAGTAGCTACATTGTACTAGTATTTTTACCTGTACACATTTTGTAAAGTAAAGGAGATAACTGCCGGGTAAACGTCAGTCTACCGCGACCGCAAAATTACCCCCGCACGATATTACATGAGGACATCACACACACATACAATGTACCAATATCAGCTACCAAAGTTGTCGTTCCTTACACTAACAACGAAACCACACGCGAGGGGGAAATTTACACTGACGATTCCAACTCGTAATAAGAGTAAATTAACCCCGCACGTAATATTCCACGTTTACAGTAGCCAGTATAGATACTTGAAAAAAACACCAACACCTGTATACAATATATATGTTTTAGATTCCAAAACTAGTCTATAACAGTTACTTGTACAGTAGCTATATGTCTATTAGTGTAGACTACTATGAGTGTAGACTACTATTGGTGTAGACTACTATTAGCACTATTAGTGTAGACTACTATTAGTGTTGACTACTATTAGAACTATTAGTGTAGACTACTATTAGTACTATTAGTGTTGACTACTATTAGAACTATTAGTGTAGACTACTATTAGTGTTGACTACTATTAGAACTATTAGTGTAGACTGCTATTAGTACTATTAGTGTAGACTACCATTAGTATTATTAGTGTAGACTACTATTAGTGTAGACTATTAGTGTAGACTACTATTAGTGTTGACTACTATTAGAACTATTAGTGTAGACTACTATTAGAACTATAAGTGTAGACTACTATTAGTACTATTAGTGTAGACTACTATTAGTATAGACTATTAGCGTAGACTACTATTAGTGTTGACTACTATTAGAACTAATAGTGTAGACTACTATTAGTACTATTAGTGTTGACTACTAATAGTACTATTAGTGTTGACTACTATTAGAACCATTAGTGTAGACTACTATTAGTGTTGACTACTATTAGAGCTATTAGTGTAGACTACTATTAGTACTATTAGTGTTGACTACTAATAGTACTATTAGTGTTGACTACTATTAGAACTATTAGTGTAGACTGCTATTAGTACTATTAGTGTTGACTACTATTAGAACAATTAGTGTAGACTACAATTAGAACTATTAGTGTAGACTACTATTAGTACTATTAGTGTAGACTACTTATAGTGTAGACTATTAGTGTAGACTACTATTAGTGTTGACTACTATTAGAGCTATTAGTGTAGACTACTATTAGTACTATTAGTGTTGACTACTATAAGAACTATTAGTGTAGACTACTATTAGTACTATTAGTGTTGACTACTAATAGTACTATTAGTGTTGACTACTATTAGAACTATTAGGGTAGACTACTATTAATGTAGACTACTATTAGTACTATTAGTGTAGACTACTATTAGTACTATTAGTGTAGACTACTATTAGCGTTGACTACTATTAGAACTATTAGTGTAGACTACTATTAGTGTTGACTACTATTAGTACTATTAGTGTTGACTACTATTAGAACAATTAGTGTAGACTACAATTAGAACTATTAGTGTAGACTACTATTAGTACTAGTAGTGTTGACTACTATTAGTACTATTAGTGTTGACTACTATTAGTTCTATTAGTGTTGACTACTATTAGAACTATTAGTGTTGACTACTATTAGTACTATTAGTGTTGACTACTATTAGTACTATTAGTGTAGACTACTATTATTACTATTAGTGTAGACTACTATTAGTACTATTAGTGTAGACTACTTATAGTGTAGACTATTAGTGTAGACTACTATTAGTGTTGACTACTATTAGAACTATTAATGTAGACTACTATTAGTGTTGACTACTATTAGAACTAATAGTGTAGACTACTATTAGTACTATTAGTGTTGACTACTATTAGAACTATTAGTGTAGACTACTATTAGTACTATTAGTGTAGACTACTATTAGTAGAAGAATTCTGTTTTGTTACATCGTTTGATAAGAATTAAAATGCGAGGCTATGTCTAGAGATATATGTTTGATTAAATCTATAGAGAAAATAAGGTTTTACCATGGAGAAGTATGTTGTTTGGTTATAGCTGTGGAGAGATAAATCGTTACTGTATAACGGGAAATTTTTGGCCAGTCAAACTTTCACACTTAATCAGAATAATCCACATTTCATTACAATGCATATTATGTTGTCTGCTATATTCGCTGTAATGATAAATTGGCCCTCATTACAGCAGGCAAAAAAAAGCAAAAATTAAACTGCAGCGAAAATTCCCCAGTATACAGTAATATTTAGATATGTCCTTAGTAAAAACAACGATGTTTGATTATGTCTGCAGAGCAGAAGATGACAGAGTACAAGGCTGAAGAGAAGAAGGCCTTACAAATACTTGTGGAGGTGGCCACAGCCCGCAGGGAGGCTGAGATTGTAAGTACAGCCGAATCCTTAATGAATCCATCGCTGTGACTCTTCATAGATTTACTATTTACAGCGGTAAATTCTCAGATTTAATGCTAGTTTGTGACAGTATACCAAATGTTCCAAACATGCTCTATTCAAAATTACTTTGCCAATTACCAATACTTTACCAAATATAATGTACTGCTATAAATTGCTAATCATTATTCATGTGTACATAGATATAATGTGTAATTTTGACAATCAAATAACTTATTGTATTTAACTTAGCCAAGACAAGTTGAGAGTTGGACAAAGTGAAATTCCACACAGTGTGTGTCAAAGAAGTTAAACCTGACACATAATACATTAATAACTGCCAATCGGGACACTATTGTCCTGTCAAATATCCGCTCATGCGTCGGTAAAATCCATAATCGCAAAATGGTGTGCTATGTACTTAATATTCACTGCCGTCATATATTTACCATCATAACATAGGGCAAACAAACAAAAATACCAGAAAAAACATGAGTCAAACTGCGATACAAATTTCACTGCATCCATGCAGTCATTATTTACTAAATAATTATGTTCATCAAGTTTGTTTCACTTGCCTTTAAAACAGAAATTAGATGAAAAAGACTTTGGAGAAAGGCACGCAATTAACAAGAGGAAAAGATTGATATTGGAAGGGAAAGTGAGTATATGTTATTTTACTGACATAACCATTATAGCAAGTTGTCTAGTGGACAGCACATCCTCTCTGTCCATGTGGATTCTATTGACAAAACTATTATACAGAGTTGTTTAGTTGACATCTACTCTGTCCATATTGATTAAATTGACACAACTATTATAGCCAGTTTTTTTGACATAACCATTCCATCAATTTACCAAGTGAACAACACATCCTCTGTCCATGTGGATTCTATTGACAAAACTATTATAGCGAGTTGTCTACTCTGTCCGTATGGATTAAATTGTCATAACCATTACACAGAGTTGTCGGGTGGACAACACATACATCTCTCTTTCCATGTGGTGAGAACTTCCATATTTCTATGTTGCAGCACAATAAATGATACACAGTTCTTTCAGTGTGGACAAAAAATCCACACCATTTTTGTGGATATAACAATAAATAAGGCAAAACAGTAATATTTGGTGTTTCGAGTAACCCTACCTACCCTAATTTTTTGTGCCTACCCTAATTTCTTTACGGCAGTTTTCAAAGGGGCACTGTTAAAGTCAAGAGCACTCCTATATAAACCACATAATCTTTTTTTAATAAAACTTGTTACCTATATATAGCTACCTACCTACCTTAATTGTTTCCAACTTATTACAGGAAACACATATTTTTTGTTTGGACTAAGTGTTAATTCATTGTGACCTAATTTTTGTTTCGTCCTTGGCACATGAAAGTAAAAAAAATCTGCCAATCTCTACCATTTCGTGATTTACTGAACTCTTCATTATGTGTATGGTTTAATTTTATTGAAACAATTTTATATTTTATGTTACAGGATCCAGAGAAAGAAGAAAAGGAGAAACAGAAATATTTGAAACAGAAACACAAAGCGTGGAAGAAACAACGAACGAAAAAGACGAAGACATGATCTTTTTGTTAATGTTATATAATTGTTTTATTTTGTTGTTGTCCAGGAACAGCTAGATTTGATTAAAGTTGCCATCACAAGTTAAAAACCACCAATGAAATCATCCAAATAATGCCTTCCGACACCATGACATTTTCAGGTCAATATGAGTTTGAGTTAAACTCAGCAGCCCTCTGTCAGTGGCTATAAGAAGCAATTGTGTGTTTGTCAGTACACACCAGACTATTGTGAACATAGCTGACACAAAACTATTCATAATGAAATATTTACATTATAGCTGATTTAATTGCTTTAGGAAGGTTGCTGGTGGTTCTTTACTTGCTGTGTACCAGGATGTGTGTCGGCATAATTGTTTTAGTGAAACTTGATGTTGGTTCTTTAGTTGTGATGTCAGCATTAAGCCAAATGTTTTCAACATTATCATTTGATGTTGCACATTCTATCTCTAAAATCTTTCAACACTGTAGACCATAATGGACTCATCCATATCAGTACATGGTAGAGTCTACTAAAGTTACATAGGGGTGAAAGGGTTAATGTCTGTCAGAATTGAAACCTTCATTATTACAATCAGTTATTTGAAGGGTTTGACTCTTAATTAATTTTCATTAAATACGTTTTATAATCAAAATCGTTATGGCGTCAACAAGTCGTGTTCAAAAAGAACACGCCCACAAAAGGAACGGTTGTTTCTGCGTGTCACTCACTGTATTTGGCTCGTCTATTGGTCGATAGAACGTTTGAGGTCGGTGTCGTCCTTGATGTCAAAAGCAGTGTACAACATTGTATCTTTTTCGGAGACTTGCAGACAAGATGGTCAGAGAAAGAACTGTGTAACCATTACTTTAGCTTACAAAAGATGGAAATCTTTTCAATTTGCCTACATCATCTGTTATTGCATAACAACTGGTTGTAGATGTAAAAGCGTTAAGGAGCCTCCCTATCATTTCCAAGTTAATGACTGTCCATGCATAAGTGTTTGCTAAATAGCATTAATATTAGCATGTCTATTGTTATGGTAATTTGTCTTTATCTATCAGGACTAACTATTCCAAGGTGAAATGATTGAGACAGGTGGAAGGCTATCATTGAGAGAGCTCATCACCCACGAAACAAACAAAAATATGTGATATATGGCAAACTGTTCACTGTAATGAAATTAACTTACGGGATTACCTCCCCTTACCCACTGACTTGATTTCTATCACCATATAGCACATTAGCACATACGACCAAACTTTTCAGTGGGAATTGATGAGGATACCAAGAAATCTTTCCATATTATGTTATTTTGTTTTGTTTTGTTGGGGTTTTTATTGTGGGGGGAGGGGTGGGGGGTGGNTCTTTCTAAGGTAAAATAAGAAACATTTGACCCCATTTTGTATCTGCTTTTTCATGTTTTTTGTCGTTCATTGTAACATGTGCAATAAACAGGACTAGGATGATTATAGTGCTTACTTGTCATGTTTTACGATTTGTGGACACATTGTCTTACAATTAAGAGGACAGTTCTTGCATGTGGGAAATTATTACATTTCTCATTAAAATAACAGCAGAATCAAATGAATAAAAACGGAAAAAAAAATTGCAAGAAAATGTTAAAAGATTTTGTTTTCAGGCTCCTTCCTTTCGTTATTTACAGTTACCTTTATATGCCACTCATGTATATGTTGTATAGTCGAGTGATTCAAAATGGACACTTGATTGATATTGACGGTCTCCTTGATATGTTGAATCTTGTCATTGAAATTAAGCTTGACCGACAATATTTTCTCAAAGAAACTAAGAAAGGACAAGAGTAAAAACAAACTTTCAAGAGTAATTATATTAAATTTGATCAAAGTCAATCTGATTAAAATCATCTGTTACATGGCTCATTTCCTGCAGGATACTACTTCCTTAATAATTGAAGAAAAAAAAGATGATCATTTGGGAAGTTGTTACATTTTTTGGTTAAAGTTACACTCTTTGAAATTTTAACAAAGACACTAAAAGTTACATAGTATGAAAAAATATGGGACATCTACACGGAACCTTATAGGGTTTTCCAATCGCTTATCTCAACAGGCTCCACCTGGAACGTTGGAGGTGCAAGTAAAGGAACCATGTCTATAACACTGGAATCCTTTCTTTGAAGAACACTCATGGCATATAATGAGATTGTAACCTCCCTGACATTTCCCCGTCACCTAATTAGTCTTTGGTCCAACACGTTAAATCTAGTAGGGAATTACGGGAGTTGGAGGAAACCTCGCGTGCCACGAGAAAAACGCGGTGACACCGAAAAGGGAAAGCAAGGACTACTGACTTCCCAACGTTTGGCCACTTTATACATATTATTGCAATGTTGCAAGGAGTTCATCCACTGATGATATGACCTTGACATTAATTGCCCCTTGAGAAAATGGCGTTAAACTGCAGTCTAGCAATACCTTTATTGCCCTTGTTGATTATTTACTGTTTAAAATTCATATCACGGATAGAAAAAAAAAGGATAGAAAAGTCACCCAGATTTATTTCGTATTAATTCTTGACTCGTTGGCGCTTACAACTACGTTTCAAACTGTTAAAGTATCAGATTTCTTTACGACCGTTGACCCCACGTCATCGAGGGATAGATCAGAGTGACGTCATTACAAGTTTTTGTAGTGATCAAATAATATATGACGAACGTAAAATACTTCCTAATAAATGTCATTTAATTAAATGCCTTCAACTGTCTGGACTGATGTATTAAACTGTTAGTTTAATGCAAATGTGAAATGTTACAATAACTCCAATCTAACGCGCAAGGACATTGTTGATAAATATTACAGGACTTTACTCCACGCTCACAAACCTAGTCAATCTTCCCACGCCTACAGGAATGTGCCCTATTTTGTTTGTCTTGGGCTTGACCTCATCAGGTCAGATAGGGGAGGGAGGAGGGGGAGGCATAACATGTCATGACCATTATATCAATAACACTGGAAAAACATATATATATATCCCCCACCCGTTCTGCACAATGATAAATATAGGGGATACTAGTAAATGATTGACGACACCGTAACTATAGTCCCCCTTCTCCCCCGTGGGTATAGTTGCTGACATGCCACACCACACCAGCGTTGATTTATCGCTTACGACGAGAACATGCATATATACAATTTGTATGTATCTGCACAAAGACGATCTCATTTTGCAGGCTCAGAGTACAAGTAAGGTTGTTATCAGACTTAAAATCAGTCGGTATATACCCGGCCACCGTAGAGTGATATTACATCAAACACTGCTTCAAAATGACAAATAACCACGGCACATTTTGACAAATTCTACTATCATGATAAACAAGGGTTTGGATAATAAAATAGATCCGTATAGCCCTGTTAGTAATCAGGTATTTGATTCTTATTTCCAAATTTTGCCACATCTCTTCCCCTCAAAATCAAAAGGTTGTTCCCATATTGACCAGGACACCACTATAGCATAGTCTACTCTTTGTATGTAGGGTATGTGGGTAGTGATCCGATCTGACATACAAATCATACGCCAATACTATTACCTGTGTACTTAAGGACATGAAAACTTTGCGACTTCTTTAAATGTCACAAATACACCACTAAACACGCATGCACCGGTTTTGTGTAAGAAAACCCGATTGTGATCAGCGTCATATGCGGGAATACTAATTCTGCAGAGTGTATTCCGTCTTTTCGTATTGCAGAGTTATCTGCACTTGTGAGCCGGTATTGATTGTTAAGTCATTTGTTTGTGAGATTAACGTCATCATTTTTTGAGAAAACGACGTAATTTGCTCACACAAACCAATGACGTAACAATCAATACCTGCTCACAAGAGAGGATAACTCTGCAATACGCAAAGACGGATCAAACGGTTTGTGAGCCTTACTCTCTTAAGCATAAATGATATTACAAGAAAGAAAGAAAAAAAATTCTAACATTACATGAAAATATTACGTCGACATCGTTTTTAATTAATAAAAAGCCTGCAGTCATTAATCTACCATAACTTTGCCTCGTTGGTTTTATTAATACCCGTATATCCTATCGGTAATTACGGTCCCCGATGTTGATCCAGTATGATCATACAGAGTTCACTGAACGTTGGCCAACGTTTTATCTGGGATAACAAATACATTGTACGTCTATGGACATGCAAGTCTAGTATTTTGATTTTAACAAAGTGACCTTCTGGTTATAGCTAGAAACATATTCTTAATCATCATTGAGAAGTAGCGATAATAAACAATTAATCATTAATGTTCTACAGCGTTCAGTCTGTTTCTCGGACAGAAATATAAACCAATCTGGCAGAGTGCAAAGTTTTGTTATAATACATCGTGTACCATTTAAAGAGATATGGCGGGTTGCTAAAGCTATGTTACGCTATAGTGTGCGCATCCAACCGTGCACTGTTATGACGCGTCCTCAGGTATGTTTTTATACAGGTACATGTAGCAATATCGGAATCCCGTGTCTAAGAATAGATTATTGTAAACAGACCACATAATTGGTAATTCGGCAATATTTGTTGGTGTTTAAGCACTTGATTTAATTACTATGGCCAGTTGGAGGGTAAAACAATTCAATTCATTTGTTGAAATGCTTCGATAGAAGTATGTCGCACTAAATAGTAAAGAAATTATTACTAACAAAACTGATAAATCAATAGGTATGTTATTAAAATGTAAACAAAATCTTCCATCGATTTAAAAAAAACCACCACACCATTGCCTTATTAAGGAAAATGATAACATGCCTAAATATTTAAAACAAAAAATAACTGAAGGAGGATTCGAACCTGCACCGTTTATTTTCTAGTCACAAGTAAACTGCGTTACACATTCGGCTACAAAGAACATATAGATATTAGCAATTACAAACTAATTAAACCCGAGAAACACCGGTCGCAGTTTAGAGAAACTTGATCACCCCTGTTTTTCATTATTTTTAGCACTTTCCCAAAGGAGGACCACTTTTCCGTAATACGATTTGTTTTTGCATATTACATCACGGTCACAAAAAGTTTATTCAAAAGTTGGTCCTCGGATGGGAAAGTTTTGAAAGTATTTTTTAATTTCGGGAAACCCCATTACTTTCATAGATATAGTGTATATGGCTATATTTGCTGTATCATATTAGCAATACCTAATTTCTCAGCAGTTTAAAAATTCATATTCAATTGGTTGTGTATCTTTTGTATGCATTTTGGCTACACGAAATGTTTTACTGCTTAATTTTTTTCTCCGTTTTCATAAATGCCGAATTAAGGAATTACGGGCAGTTTTCCGCCATACCTCTTTCGAGATCGAAAAAAAGAAATCCCTTACTTGTATACCGTCCCTGTGGATCATGTTGTAAGTAAAGGTCGATGTCAATAAGAGCAAGTTCCCCGGGAAAGTAAGCTTTTTCTGCTCCATAGATGACACCCGGCAGTCAAATCATAGCAATGCCACGTCCTCAAATTGAGAACCGGATAGGTGATAACGAAACTACAGTAAGGCTCACTAAGGATTTTGGTCATAAACGTAGATAAATAGAAACTCCCCTTAACTTGAGGGTGCGACAGAGAAATCTCCAACCTGAGGGATAATATTTTTTTATTGTCTAACAAAAATATTACCCCGATGGTAAGAGATTTCTCCAATATGGCTGCCACGCCAAACTGTAAATCAAATTCAAAAATGTATTCCGTTAGCATTTAACAATCCCTGTCACAAAAAATCCTCCTCCAATAGTTCTCAAACCTATTTGAGGTACATGCACACTAAGTTTCAGAAAAAATATTCAATAACTGATGAAAAAACTCACTTTTTATATGTTCATTTCCCAAGCTGAATACATTTGTCGAGAAAAATGTAAGAACATGCTTCAAATAGCCTTCCCTGCCTTCGGAGTTTACATGTCGTCGTTGACTTGCTTTTAAAGAACATGTTTTAGTATCAATATATTCTGTAAAGATGCATCATGCTGACCCATCTACAACTTATCGATGACAATCTTCTGAGATTCCTTCGTTAAAGATAATATTTTCGGTCGCCCTACGGTATACCAGGAAATTTCACTGCAGTTTACATTCCCACTGTTTCGTCCTTCGTTTCGAGGGCGAATTTATCATTACAAGGAGCGTAAGTACACAACACAATATGCATAGTAATTTAATGTTAAGGGCGAAATTAACACTGGGCAAATATGGATCATTCTAGCTAAGGGCGAGCGTTTCACAGGGCGAACATTTCCTGATATACAATACCTAGTTTTTACCCGTCAAGTTCATTGTGAATCATGATTTAAGATCGTTGGTGATCCATAACATACATAATTTCTTTACTTTAAATTCAGACATCATGTCAAATGCCAGATTCGGTGCAGGATCTGCAGAAATATTTTGAGCTGGACAAAAAACCGTTTCGGAGAATCATTGCGAACTGAGGGAGTCGAAATATGCAAGAATGTTCAGGAAAGTATCGATTGTTACAAATTAGCGAAGTAATGTTGCGATGTCTGTTTCACACCATTAAGAAATGAGAATGAGTTGATTGGGTGATGAAAACTAACGTCTTATCCTGTGTACAAGTGAACAAAATAAGCTCAAAACGAAAATATAGAAGACGATACACAGTATTTATACAAATAAGTAATGCTTAAAAAAACACATAGAAATACACATGGATACAATGCACTCAATCACATGCAATTTCTTTATTACAATTGTACCTTGGAATTTCCGAACAATCGGTTACATATTCACATCACATGTAAGCATTTATGGATTAAAACACAGATACAGGCACTCGTACAGGTACATGTAAGCTCATTACATGTAGCAAACGGAACGGATAGTCATATCACTTATAGTTATGATGCAATGTACATATTGTTTTAGAAGATCTGTTGATCAAAACCTTATTCAGATATAATTCCTAACCGAAGACAGAAGCTAATGATTTTCGGACAGGTTGCAATTCGAACGATTCTGTTTGGGTCGCTAGTAATGTTCTGAGTACAGTTATTCGAATAATCTTCAAATCAAGTATGACACGGTATATAATTATCTTGGTGCAAATGACGCAGATCTTTGCCTATCAACACATAAATAACGACCTTTGTCCTGACGTATTGACCCCTTTTCGACATGCCTGAACTATTTGATCACCCTGGTAAAATACTAGCAGCTTCCTACAGACTCGGATAGTGAGAATTTCTCATTAGCTCACCAGAGGTTCTGGGTTCGACTCCAAAAAATAGCGGAGGCATTGAAAATATAAAGACCTCTGTTACATTATGATAAAAGAAATACTCGTTAAAGATGTCAAATTCATTAAAAGACTAGGAGAGATCCATATGAATTCCGCCGTGTCTATACCATGGTCTATTGCTTATATGTGAAATATTCATGAACTCTAATCGTCACTTAATATTGTAGCATACCTACATAATAACATCACTTAATATTCGGACAAAATAATAATCACGTCATATTTGAATACTTTTATCAGCACCTGATGTTCGAAAACACATATCACAAAATATTCAAGCACAATTACCAATGATATTCAAGTGACGTTAAAATCACGTGATACTGGCGTAAATGTTGTTACCACTACATATTCGAACGCACTTTCTCTAAAAATATCGAACACTCCAATTCTCACATAACTTTAAAAACAATTATTATCATATAATATTTCGAGAACACTTATCAATAAACTAGCAAATGTATCATCACTTGAAATTCAATATTAGTGGGCTCATTTCCACACTAAATATTATACCAAACAAATTACCACATAATATTCGAACATATCACCACTTAATATTTGAGAACATGACATCGATATCACTTGATATTCGAGCATTTTTTCACCACTTAATATTCAAGCACATTTATCACATACTATTTGATAACATTTTGTAATCTCTTAATATTTGAGAATACTTTTGCCATTACTAAATGTCGGGAATACTTTTGTCATCACTTAATATTCGGGAATACTTTTGTCATTACTCAATATTCGAGAATAATTTAGCAATCACTTAATATTCTGGAATACTTTTTTCATCACTTAATATTCAAGCACATTTATCACATACTATTTGATAACATTTTGTAATCTCTTAATATTTAAGGATACTTTTGCCATTACTTAATATTCGGGAATACTTTTGTCATCACTAAATATTCGGGAATACTTTTTGTCATCACTAAATATCCGGGAATACTTTTGTCATCACTTAATATTCGGGAATACTTTTGTCATCACTTAATATTCGGGAATACTTTTGTCATCACTTAATATTCGGGAATACTGTTGTCATCACTTAAAATTCGAGAATGCTGCATTTGCTGCAAATGATATATTTGAAAAGGTTTTGCAACAAGAGGAACAACATGAAATTATTTGCCTGTCCCCAGCATCCTTACATTCTCTAAAACATAGACGAGATATTTGAAATGTAAATGTAAAGGTGATACAGTATTCCCCATTATTGTTGCAGCAATACATATGATTTTAATGCCAGTGGAATATTAAGGGTGTTTAATTTTTCCTGCACGTTCCTGCCACCCATCTGTTTCCGAATCACCTTTCTGCAACATGTGCTAAGCCGTAACGGATTCTGTTGACTTTGAACTAGCATCTGGATAACGTTGTCTCCTTGATTGTTTGTGTTCGTGTGATTTTTCAGCCAATTTTCATTTGAGAGGTCATACCCGGCGTCTAGCAATAACACTATTGACCCGATGTCTTTATGATGAACAAGACTAGCTAACGGAGTGCCTTTCCCGATGACGGCTTTGTTGTTAAGAACACAACCTCCCTTAATAATCAGGTCAACAAGTTTCGGATCACCATGAACGCATGCATAATGTAGCGCGGAACATTGTAGATAATCTTTCCTGTTGACATCTGCTCCATTTTTCAGGAGTAATTTCACCAAGTTATAATTTCTTCCAATTGCTGCGCGAAGCAGTGGCGTCACACACTCTTTATCGACACTGTTGGTATCCGCACCCTTTTTTATCAACAACTTTACCACCTGGTACTGGTCGCCCATGATGGCCCAATGAAGGGCACTCCGGCCCATACACGGGTCGGTAAAGTTAACTGGCGTTCCTTCCTCTAGAAGATACTGGACTATTTCGGCGTGACCTGTAAAGACAGCACGAAGATAACAAGATGTGTAATCAGACATTGGCGTACGAGGAGATAAGTAGTAGTGTGCATATTTGAGGATCGAGGTTTTGATTTCTGACGGAATTTGTTCAACGAAGTCATTAAATTGAGCGATATTATCAGCAAAAAGTGTTAATTTCACCGATCTTTTAGAAATGCTATATTGCGTTTTTGGGGCATCGAACACCCTATTTTCCCCTTTACTTACACATATCGGTTATGGAAACTTTTAAATAGTAAAGTAGTGGATTGTTCTTGAGCTCACTAGATCTAATACCAGAGTCTAAGTTTCTTAAAAAGTATTCAATTTGTTTTCGTTTGAAAAATATAACATGGAATGCCTATCATGAACTTGCTTTATTTTGGACCAAACAAGCGACACTTTAGTTGTGTACGTAATGCGACTAACAATATTTTTGCAATATAAACTTATTTTCTTACATACAGACTCAAAAGGTGCGCAACATTTGCATAAAGACGGTTCCATTTATTTCATATCAACCTTAATAAATATTTTTTTGAATAATTATTATTTATTTATTTGTTTTGATACGTCTAAGAAAACATGCAAGTATGTAACCTAAGCAGGCAGCTGTCCCCAGAACGGTAGCTCCTTCCCAGCGAGCCGGACAATGCAGCACGGAGTTCTTGTCCAGACCATATTCCACCAATTCCCTGACCTTGACCTTGTCACCAGAGAAAATTGCGTCGAACAACAGTGTATCATTTCCTTTCAAGCTCATGCTGATTATTTTTCCTGTTTGAAAATAGATTAAGGAAAAATATAAATCATAGAGAATGTCACCTAATTCCTTCATCCCTATTCCCACAGTTCTTGAATAAAACTACGTTTTACAACTGTTAGAAAATCATTACGTTACTAACGTTACATTTCCTGTGGTTATTCATTAAGTTGATCACCCGTAAATCTCTGTACGGCCATTTTACTGACGACCCGAACTAGTTTCCTATGGAGTGATAAGATTTGTATGATGAAGAGCATTCCTTAAGAGATGCCAATATTTAATTATTCATGATGTACCTTTAATAGTCTCGATTTTCGTGTCATTTTGTGAGATTGTTCATGCTATAAAACATTTGAATAATAACAAAGCTTGTNCCAAGCGAGAATAACAATTTTAACCGCGTCGGCTCACAAGTAAGTGTACGCAACAATATTAAACGCCAAATTAACATATGTTCAGTTAATTGTACCTATCTTCAAATAGTTGAAGATAGGTTCAATTAATTGAATATAGGTTCAATTAATTGAATATAGGTACAAGTAATTGCAGATAGGTTAAATTCAATTGTACCTATCTTTAAATGATTAAGGAAAGGTACATTGTACCTAACTCTCATTAAATTGAACATATCTTCAATTAATTGTACCTATCAATTATTTGAAGATAGGTGCAATCATTTGAATATATGTTAATTGGGCGTTCCCTATACAAGTAAGGACTAAAAATACACGAATATGTAAGTTAGTCTGTACATGTACATTACACGAGTAGTTAGTATGTCTTGTCTGAAGCACGAAATGCGTGGATATAAATATAATCTATATCTGTGTCTTGAGATTTGTTTGTTGACCTTCGATCGTGCGATAGGTGGTAGGAAAGACTTTATATCAACCCGCTGGAAAAACGACACAAAATAGTCCTCCTCCCTCCAACACACACACACACACACACACACACCCTCACACACCAACACCTACAGTACACGTGCAGACATGCCCAACGAATTCACAGTTGATCGATCGTTTCCGTCGAGAGCGTTGCCTTTACACAATGTAGGCAAAAATGCACATGTATCTGCATAGCGACTGCACACACAGCGATCGTATGCAGCGAGCAGGTGTATACATTCCTGCTATGTTAATAGGAGATACTATACAGGACTCCGAGCACCGTGTAACAAATATGTAGGGGATGTGGGTAGTGGTCGTTAAAACTCCTGCTATCAAATATGTATGCGTGAAACACTGTACTCTGAGTAAAGCCTTGACAAATTGACTGTACATACATATGTGCATGGATGCTAATTCGACAATGTGTCTACCGCAGGAATCTGCAGGGTCTAAATTTCATTTTAAGGAATATATTTTATTAAGCCAAAATAAATGCGTCGCCTTTTTAGATATAAGACCGTTCAATATTTGATCTAAACTTAAGTAACTAGTATATCTTAATACTTTTTTGCAAGTTTTATCCACCACTGGTGATCATTTAAGATTTACACATTGTTTCGACAAATCACTCACAATTCAGAAATCCAATTTGCTTCTTGTCAAAGATCATGCAATAATTGAACAAAACTTAAATAACTATGCTATCTTAATCTTTTTTGCAAGATATATCGTTCACTGTTGAATAATTGCGATTTACTTCATTATTTCAACATATCACAATTCAGAAATCCAATTTTCTTCTTTTCTAGATTAAGTAGACCACCTATATTTAGCTAGAGAATTGATTAAACATGCTGGATTTGATAGTCTGATCACAAATGTCATTAAGGTCGTATGTATATTATCCTTTCACAGCACAGCCACAAATCTTTGTTGCATTGACGAAGCGTTCATTCTGCTATCACATGTTAGACAGACTGATGACTGCACAGGCCGAGTAAGAACACCTAGGTACTATATACAAGTATGTGTATATGATGCTGTGCGGCCATTGACCCACAAGCATGTGAAAGTGATGCTGGCCAAAAAGATGGGCTGGATGATATTGATTATACAAACATTCCAATCCAGCATTTTTTAATTTCACTTAAGTCACCTAACGTCGCTGTAGATAAACAAAAATATGGTATTTGTCATTGGCATTGAGATGTTGAAATTTGAAACTAAATCTTGCAGGAATGTTTGACATGCAGCATTTAAAAATCTTTAGAACTCTATACTAACCTTCACTGATCACTGAATCTCAAGCACTTGATACTTTTTTTTACTCATGAGAGCTCAAATCTCAAAGAAAATACAGTAACAAATAAAGCATTAACTTGGCCGCGAGATTTGTTTTTGTTTAAGCTGCCTTAGTTCAAGTTTAGCAGCTGAGTCATATGCAACATCAAGTGCATGTATCTCAATTTGCATCCGCAAAAAATAACAATAGTAAATGGTAATGTAAGTAGATGTTTCCGTGATATTAAATATTATACAAACCTTTAAAAGTAATAGTCAACTCTCAATCCTCAGAAAGACACCTATTCTCGCTGACAGCTGATAACATAATCTGCTAGCCCGGTATTTTACCGTACAGATATAGCCATGACCCAATTTATCGCCGAAGATTTCATTTTAAAATTAGCATAGTCCTGTTAGGTCAGCGCTGGTACTCCGAATCTCCCTGTGTTTGGTCATACGTACAATCGTAAACGTAAACATCGCACGAAAACAAAACCGGGATGTGTAAAGCCAGGATCCACACATATCCTGTTTAGCATAGCAGAGTCGGATGCGCTCATCAGCTGACAGCAGCCTGTGTTTATATTCGTGACCGAATTATTTTGAACGACTTATCTCCCTTCCCTCTAAAAGCTTATTTGAATTGGCTATGCACTTATAATTACAAGCCACCTCGAATAGACTTACTTAAAAGTTTAGTTTGATACCCGAGATATCTGAAGCTTTGAAGATATTTACATAGTTTATCATTTAATTGTTTACGTGATATTGACTACATATGTAATTAAAGATTCAGAAATAACCTGTCGTTAAGTTTTCCATATATAAAACACCTGTTTGTGTATCTGTGATTGGACCTACATACTGCTTCGCATTATAGCACTGACACTTTTACATCATGTTAGATCTGATGAAGCATTCATTTTTATAGTATTTTTTAGGTTTTACCAAAGATTAAATAGTTTTCAGTATTTTTTGTTTTTCTTCACAGCGATCTATTTGTTTCATACAATATTTGATATTGGAAAAATACAGCGTTTTTTGTTATTTTCCAATATCAAATAATAAGTTCATTAAAAAATGAAATTTCTTCAAATGTTGTTTTTCTTTATAAAATTATAATTAATACCTTTCCGGAAGAAAATTTCGACCGATTGTAAATTGGGCTTACATGTTGTAGTTAGTCAAATAATAATTACCTGCGTTGCTTTTTTTTATGTGGGAAATTTAAAAAGTAAAAATATATATATATATATAAAGCATATGAATTATTTTCAAATTATCAAGATTGTGATCATTAATCTGTAGTTTACCGAGATCATAAAATATATAAATAAAAAACCTATTTCCGATGTAGCGCATCTGGTTACTCGCAAATACGTGTCTGCTTTTTGAAGTAGAATATTTAAGAGGCTTGAAATTAAACAGCTTTTGTGAGATATCCATAAGACACACCAATGTACTTGCACTATTTCGACGACGGCATGCTATCTTTAAACGATTATTACTAATATGTGGGTCAAAACGTTATCAACACTGGGTGCGGCAACGGCTCCATGATTAAATACGCTTGCATATATGCCAAAATAATATTGCATAACTATATATCATTCTAAACTCCGAATTAATATTTTTCACTGAAAAAAAAAAGATTTTTACATACCCAAACGAAAAGTTGATTGTTTATGTAATAAATAATTTTGGATTGCTATTCTTTTGCATGTGCAGAAACCAGTTGTATGATATACAAAATACAATTTTTAAAATGCTATAATAGTTTTGCATATATATTGTGGTCCACGCCATACTATATTTACTAACGAAACAGGAAATTTTATTTAATGTTATAAACTAGAAGTGAGACAGATGTCGTTAACTGTATTACACTTGTATAAAAGGAGTAGCTTTTTTTATAAAAGAATGTGTTTGCAAAAAATGTAATGTTATTATATGATACTAAAATTTACAATAGCCCTATCTTGGAACGTAATCATGTACAGTATTCGCCTGATTTTCAATATCCAATTCCGTCTTTGCGTATTGCAGAGTTATCTTCTCTTGGGAGCAGGTATTGATTGTTACGTCACTTGTTTGTGAGAGTAACGTCATCAATTTTTGAGAAAACGACGTAATTTTCTCACACAAACCAATGTCGTAACAATCAATACCTGCTCTCAAGAGTAGATAACTCTGCAATACGCAAAGACGGAAGGACTGGATATCTCTTACTTGTAATGCAACTCTTGAATTGTGTATGTATGTACATTGTAATTTGGCATAAGATATTGATTGACATTAAAAAAATAAATCTACATGAACTTCTCGTTTTTCGTTAATATGTTTTACGGCACGGCCGTTAGTGAGGGCGGAGCCAGGTTGTACTGTAAATGTTTCGGAATATCGGTACTGTAAACTTTCAAGCATTGAGTGATGTGTTGAATGACTAAATCAGACCTACATGTATAGCTATACAGTGTATATTACAGTTAAGTTTCCTTTCTTGATTTCTTTTTGGCTGACAAGATGTTTGATATCTTGAAGTTTTCCGCCTAGGCGTATGATGACATGACATTAATGTGAGAATGCGAAAGGTTCATTAGACTCTATATAAGTATTTAAATTTGCACCTCTTGAATCCATTGCAAAAATCAAGTGCAGCATATTCTACAAAGACATTGAAATAAAACATATTAGGATGGATATTGTTAATCATGTATAATAGCATAGGTATCTGATATCCATGAAAAGATATACATATATATATATATATATATATCTTCACGAATAAGCCCTTTGGATTACTTCAAACTTAACTTCAATGATTTATAAATATTGCATCCAGAGAGAATTTATGCAAAGTATTTTACAATTTTTGTGCTTTTTATGTGTAAAAATTAATTTGTTCAATGCTATAAAAACTGGATTTATATGAAGTTTCTATTAAAATAAGAAGCATATGCGAAATCACAATTTTTGTCATTTTTCAATACCCATCATTGCAGCCAAGAGAGTCAATAGATCTATATATCATATATATATTGTGGATGAATACATTTGTTTCAGTAACTAACTGACTATATGCTTTATATGTCTCTGCTTTATGTATAGTTTTAGCAATAGAGAAAATGTATTGTTTCCTCAATTAGAATTTGAATCATAAAATTGTATAGTTTGTTTTTTTAAATCGTGCAGATTTGTAAAACAGCAGATTTTCTTTTATTAATAAAAAATAGCTGTGAGATAGTAATCAAAAATGAAAATGTTACAGTATGGATTCAATTTTTTTCTTCAGTCTATTTTTTTGATGCAAAATATCAATAAAAAAAATCTTATGAAAATACTTGTATGTTTTTTATCCTATCATTTTGCGTCACTGAGATAAACTCCCTTTTTGTTGACAACCAGCACGTTGTTTTGTTGATATTCCGTTTTCTAAATATATATATATACCACTGCAATCTCTACCCAGAGTTGTCGTCGGGAGTGCAAGGACCGTAACTCTGCGTGATAGTCTCGTTCAACCAGACTCTTGTTGTCTGCGCAAGCGTCTGATTGAACGAGACTACACTGCCGATACAATAATATTTCGACCATTCAGAACTAGAGCAATGTAGCCGGTAACGTTATGTCAAGAGAATTTACATCTTTAACCAAATCAAATATTTAAGTATCCTATAGTTAGATATAAGTTTTAAATCTTACAAAAATGTAACGTTTGTTCGAGATTCGGCAAACGAGAACTTGTTTCGAGATCAAGATGGCGGAGACTACAGCGCGTGCGACTGGCGGCCATGTTAAGACAAGTTTTTCAGTTCCATAGGTATTGTGAATAATCTTTATTTTTCTTACATACGTGTTACCTATAGGGAGAGCTTCGCTCTCACGGGCCCTTCGGGCCCGTGAGAGAGCTCCGCCCTCTATTATATATGGAGGTTATAAAAATATCAGTAACATATCGTTTTCGTATTATTTACGGAAAACAATACTTTATGTATGATACCAAAATCAGTTTCAAAAAGAAATCTCCTCAAATTATGCAACTAAATTTAAAGCAGTGTGAGTAGTTTTCATAAAGATAAATAAATGAGTAAATAAATGATAATGATTCAAGCCTTTTTACGTCAGGTGTGGCACAAATGAAATATGTTCATAAATATTGTTTACATGGGTTGAGAGAGCTAAAATCACTTGCTATAGAAACTTTGAGGCAAGAATATACATTTCAAGACAAGATTTGTGCGGTCATTGCACTGAAAGGATAATATGCATACACCGAAGGAGGTATTGGCCTTTCACGATCTGAATGACATTTGTGATCAGACTATAAAATCCAGCATGTTTAATTAATTCTACATATAGGTGGTCTACTGTATCTGGAAAAGAAGTACATGGCGATGAGCGATTCATGCTATGTATGTATTTACAATCTGAATACTTTTAATCATATAATTAATAATATGTTCTAAATATACGCCATTGACGGAATACCCTTCCAACAATCTGAGACATCCGAGAAATTGATTTAAAGCTAGCTATTCAAGTGCTATTTGACATGTGCAAAAAGGGCAAAGTTAACAAATTAAAGAAAAGAAAATGTTATTTAAATCGGGAAAATGCTTGTAAGATCGCCACAACGCCGCCACCCCACAGCACTATTGTCATCACTGGGGATTGAAATTCAATGGCAGACTGGAAGATCCAACTAATGCCTACCGAATAAGAAGAGAATCAGCGGAGAGGGAATACAGTTTAGACCCAGACAAATGTTTTGTAATAGTTTATGAATTTCCTAATCTATTATAAGGCTTTAGTACATGTTTTTGTTATAAAAATGACGTTTACATCATCAGCTTTGCATACAATTCAATGAGGATATAAGCATATGTGAAAAAGTGTTAACTTTGAGAGTAGGAGGAGAGTCGAGTGGGCCAGTAGGGTCAGAGTGGTGGTACGAACGTTGGAGTGACAACATGTGAGCAGTGAAAGTGTTGCGGTGAACGTATGGACATGTACCTGTATATATGTTTATAGATGTAAATAAACTGTAAGTAGAAATCAGTGCATTGTCTCATAATTATGACATCAAAGACAAACCAGTGGCTCCGTCACACATATATATGGGAACTCCACATTATGCTACCACTCGCCAGCACTCCTGACAACATGGATGAAAACATGACCTCTAAAAGATGGTCCTGCAAGTTAAAATATGTAATCTTCAAGTCAAGACTCTCTGACCGCCTAAGATTCCATCATGGCCTGAAATATGGAAACATAAGCCATGAGAATCGCAATGACTACTGAAAGGAAAGATGTGAGCAACAGGTACTGATGTCTTTTCAAGCAAACCAGGAACACGTCACTTTTTCTTGACAAGGAGATACATTGTTAGTAAGTTAGCAGACACGATACCGCTGTCGATCAAAACAATTAAAGGAATCAAAATAGTTCACCTTATTTGAAGGTGATCGGGTAATTAAGACATTAGATTATTCCTTAAATTAAAAAAAATAAAAATGCCTGATTTTTTAATAAATTGTTATTTTATGCATCACTGATCACTGAGGCGCCGATCCCAGTGGC